AAAAGCGAAAACAGCGCCGACACAACAAACACCCGGCCAGTCGAGTAATGATCCTAGACTCCTGGCGTCTCGGGGGAGGAGGAGGAGGAGGGAGGGGGGCGGCGGTGTGCGTGTCCCAAAACACCGGGCTAATTCCTGTGGATCAGTTTCGCCTCGACGCGACGCGGCAACGACACCGTTGCGCATCGATCGTGCTTTCGGCGTTCCCGGTCCGCGATTCCCAGGATCGGTTGTCGCGTTCCACGCGCTTCAGCAATTATTCCTCCGCGAAGGATTAACGAAACATCGAGCGTGTTAGCGTCCGGATGGGCACGCGGGAGGAGAGGCGGAGAGCGGGGGAAAGTGGCGTGGCAGCGTTACGAGGGAGATAGGCCGTCGGAGGGGAGCGATTAGATTCGAAAAGGAGGGGCGGAGTTCGGAAATATCCCCCCGCAGCGATAGCAAATGATTAGGTACGATACGGGCTCGCGGATAATGAAGGTTTCGTGACCAGAAGCGGCGTCGGCGTCGACGGCAGCGGCGCTGGCCTCGGTGGACGTTGAGGCTCGGAGGAAAATCGAATTTCGGGGCGGCGAGAGAGAGAGAGCGCGCGCGGTGGCGGCAGCGGCAGCGGCAGCGGCGGTGGCAGCGGCGGCGGCGGCGCGGCGGTGGTAGCGGCGGTGGCATCGGCGTCAGTGGCCGATGGCGATAGCGTTAGCGATCACGGTGGCGATGCTGATGCCGATGGCCGCTCTCGACCGACGCGAGGAATTCCTTGGATGGAACGGGGCGAGGAAGCGTGCACACCGCCGGGGTCCGTTCGCTCGACGATTACAATAAACGCCGCGCGTCCATCACGCTTCGCCGGCGAAAATCAATGAACGCGTCCCCCTCCCCACCCCCCTCTGCCCTCCCGGCCGCCCCCGCGGCTGGCCCGCGAAACAATGGGAACCGAATTTCAGGGCCTCCGAGAAACGGTGCTTCGAGGCCGGGACTATCTCTCTCGCCTCTCTCCCGAGGTCGTCGCGGCTGCCACCACGGAACACGCGAGCGCCGAGCCGGGCGTTCGCGAGCGGACGAGAGCCGGTCGAAGGAGAGGAACGGATATCGCCACGATCCGCGCCCGGCGAGGATTCTCGTTCGATCGCGGCCGAAAACGTCCGCGGGCTTTTTCGGACGATTCCGATTGCTTCGGATTGCTTTTTCCATCGGCGAAATTGCTGTAACACACGGTTACATCCCCGGCGAACCTTTTCTCGCTCGGCGCGTCCTTTGCAGAATTGTTTTTTACTCGGCGAACAGCACGGTCCTAGATGCCGCCCTTTCATTGTCCGCGCCGGTCAAATGAATCGTCCGCCTTGCAGGAACGGATTCCCGTTCGCGCGTTTAACCGCGATCTTTTTTTCCTTTTTTTTTTGGAATTCTGACGACGCTCGATGGTTTTCGAATTTTTACAGTTCGTTTAGGAAATCGCGGTGCTTGTTTGAGCCGTTTATTTTGAAAGTGGCATAAGTCACTTTGTTTTTAAGACGACATATTTAAGGGTTCGCGTTTTAACACGTTTAAAAATATGGATGCCTACTTTCGAGAAGATTTACTTGTATTTGTTATCTCAGGATACTGATATTATTCTCGGTATAAATAATTTCGTATAAACATTAAAAAATCACCACTTTTCATTACGGTAAAGTGACTTATGCCACTTTAAAAATAAACGGCTCGTTTAAGACATAACCTTGACATGACCTTGACAGCGAAAGGATTTATGAATATTGTTGCGTTGCTTTCAATTTTGTTGAAAGAATTCAAACGTAATCTATACCGGACGATAGATTTCTTTCGCAGCTGCGACGTTGCTTGGTATTTCTCTGTTGCTAATAAATTGTTGTATTATATAAATTATTATTGAATATTATTTACAGGATTATTTTTTAATTTAAATTATATAGGAATTTAATTTACATAAATTATATAGGAGTTATAAATTACTTTAATCATATAGGAATAAATATAATCATATAGGCATTAATTATTGTATAGGCATAAATTATAATTGCTCTAGGAATTTATAATTATAAATTCCTTTTTTTATAATTATAAATTCCTATAGCAATTTATTAGCAACAGAGAAATGCCAAGAAATCTATTGTCCGGTGAATTCTTTCAACGAACTGAAAATAACGCAACAATATTCATAAATATCGTATGTCAACTTTTAGATTTGCGTTCAAATATCGACAATTGAACAGTAGAATTTTATTCGGATTCGGAACAAGCACGCAACGTCCAGATTTAGGAGATCGTGTTCGAAATGTTCGCGACGAGTTTGAAATTCTAAAGACTCGGGAAACAATGGAATAGTTCTTAAACCGAACAAACAATGCAATCAAAATGGCGGAATATCTAAATAAATCCAGTGACATAGGTTTAGTATTAAAAGAATAAGCAAACTGTTTCCCGTTCGTTTTCAACCGATGCGGAACATTGTTATTTTGCATAAAAATCCGCGGCCCGGTTGTTATTATTATTAAGTCGTGTACACAGGGTTTGACGATGTTGAAATTTTAATTACAAGCGTTAAATTGAACTTAATTGTTTTCTCTTGATTTCAAGTGCTGGCAAATTTGCTTCCTCTAACGACGAAGTAATTGGACTACATAGTTCGATAAGCTCCGGTTGCTGTTTTAGTTCCCGCATTGTAGACAGGTGTTAGCCGAATCGTATATAATCGAACTGTGTTATACAGGGTGTCCCAAAAATGTCTCGTAATCCGGAAATGGAGGGTTCCTGAGGCGATTTGAAGAAACTTTTTTCTCAGCGAAAATGCAATCCGCGGCGTCGTTCACGAGTTACGGGCGAGAAAACACTGGCCAATGAGAGGCGCGCTCGGCTGGCGCGCGGCGACCCAGCCAATGGGCGCGCGAAGCCCGGTTCCGCTCATTGGCTCGGCCGCCTCGCGCGTCAGCTGATCTCGCCGCTCATTGGTCAGTGCTCTTTCGTTAATAACTCGCGAACGAAGCCGCGGATTGCATTTTCGCTAAGGAAAAACTTTCTTCAAATGATCTCAGGAACCTCTATTTTCGGATTACGAGACATTTTCGAGACATCCGTATTTTAGAGAGAATAAGAGCTTTCTACGCTTTAATTCGAGCAAGAAAATTCTGTATTTTTTCACTTCTCTTATACGATGTTTTCAAGTTTGATTAATCCTTAGCACGCGACTCTTATTTTACCGCGACTAAAATACAACTTATTATTTTTAAAAAGTAGAATCCTTCGTCTGCGCTTTTTATCGAAACTCAATCCAAGGATTATTCAGTCGTATTCGTCTGTTACCGTTGATTAGCACGATCCAAAATGTAATTGTCGCTATCGAAACTTGTAAAAATTATTCTAACGTTTCGCGAAGGAAATATGAATGTTCGAAAATTGCCATTTCAACGCAGAGAGATTCTCGGTGAATTAATCGAGAGATCAAAGATAAAACAAGATTACGAGGTCTCGCGGTTGTCGTAGAACGGTGCTTTGATGGCAAGTTGTTAAGCAGACTCGACGATTCGTTCACACATTATTGAGCAATGAAACTTCCGCGAAGTTTCGCGAAGTGCGTTTCTGCAACTTCCGCGAGGAATTAAAACCGAGGGTCACTCCGATTGCCCCAGTACTTCAAAAAGAATTGGGTCGCACTTCGCATTTTTTTCCTCTCCTTTTTTATTACAGTTAAAGCCGGCCGCTAAGTAACCTCGTGAACGACTCGATTTATAGCTGTTTTATATACTTTCCGGGGGGGGGGGGGGGGATTTTTTTTTTTTA